AGTTTTTATTTCAATTTGAGCTAGCTCCAAGTGGTCTGATTTGTTCATGGATCGAAGTGGTTTCTAAATGCTAATCCCAGTACCACACACCTAAATTTTGGAGAGCTAGCTAAAAAGCGCTCTTAATCTTAGTACAAATTCAATGTGATTCTTTCTTGATTTGGAAATATTTTGGGTCTGGACTCTGGACCATGTATGTTCAAGTCAAATCGTACCTCTTGATGAATATTTCACCTGAATCAACCTAACCCAAAATCCGATGGATTCTATTGCAACTCGGGTGAATAGGGTTTAAATATTAAAAAGGCTTTTTATATTTACAGCCGTACAGAGGGTAAGGTTACACAAATTTGTTCCTCCCCAAATCCTACATTACATTGGACTCTTGACAAAAAACTTAGACTAAATCAACGGATATCATAAAAGAGTTGACCAAACGGATGGTATTTGTCAAAATCCACGGGATACTTTGATTGATCAAAACTTTTCTAATGCCATATATTTCCAATATCATGAATTTTCCTTATTTAAAATTAAAAACCAATAATTTCATTTCATTTGGCTTCCAGCCAATCAACTGATATTCATAAAAATTCACGGAGGTTTTTGATCCGCCAAAGTTATTACGATATCGATCGAACCTTGATAATGGCCTAGAGATAAAATGGATCAGAATTTGTTCATGAAAATTAGCCGCCTTAGAGAAAGGGGAAACCAAAGTAAATTAAAAAAAGCTAGACATTATATATAACAGCCGCCTAGCTGGAGCTTAGAGGCAAGAAGCATTTAACTCTAGCAACTGAAGTACTGCATATATATATTAATAGTACCTGAAACCTAGATAATTAGATATAGGAGAAAGAAAGACCAAAGTAAGCTAAGGCTACGATTAGAGCGTATCCTTTGTGCACCCTTTTTGGATCCTCAGACTGACGTCCCATGACATCGTCAACGTTCATACTTTTTATTATACTATACTATTGTCTATTACTAGGCTAGATGGTAGATAGTATTATAGGAGTAGACTAGAAGACAATCCCCCAGCCCCTTTTAAAAACACATCGCAACTTGCCGTTTTATATAAATTTCCTTCATTTTTATATAAATTAAATAAAACAGTTTCAAAGATCTAAAATCACTGGTCATTCATCACTCCATATGAGAATTGGGGCCCGCTCGTTAATCATGATGAGACGTTAAGATATGGAGTAATGTAATCAGATATGTATATATAGAGAGAGAGAGAAAGAGATTAGAATGGGGGGTGTGAGTTGGGGTGTCCCATCTTAATCATGTCCCCAATTCCATCTCATTGTTTTTGTTTCTGTGTTTGTTTGTATTGGAGATGGAGTGTTGCGAGGTCGGATCCAGTTACATTTACATGCCCACGCATTACTCTCACTCTTTGAACCTTGAGATAAAGAAAGCAAACGAGGCACGTAACTAACTGGTGGGTTGGGTGTGGGGGGTGGGTGATGGGTGAACGCAGAACCGAACGAACGTACTACTGCTAACTATGCTGTGCTGCCTGCATCTGCATCTGCATGCCCACTTGATCCATTCCCAATTAATTTGTGTTCAGTTGGTGTGTGTCACGTAGGACCATGGCTTGCATGCTTCCTGCTTGCAGTTGTAGTACATCACATTATCTCAAATCACACGCTCTCTTCTCCGCTCGGCTCGATTTTGTGTCAATCGCTAGTGGGGCCGGAAAGCTTATGTCATCCTCACGTTCGGATGCAGGTGGAGCAATTTATTTACCCCTTTATTTATTTATTTGTAATACATCCAAATAAAAACGAGACCCCAACACCAGATGTGATCCGAAAAACTGCTGCTTCACCAGCACAATTTGGCCTGGTCTATTCTAGTTGCTGTAAATAACCACGCTCATGTCATAATATAACTGCATGCACGCTTTGAGGTTAAAAGTAAATGCACTTTGGAGCGAGCTACGGGGCAGTCGGAGCTAACTATACAAAGTAAATGCACTTTGAGACACTCTCTTTGCTATTAATATATTCTAAACACTTGCGGGTGGTGTTTGGGTTCGATGCTGATTTCTTCTTATAAATTAACTTCACATTAAAGCAACATCATTTATCTTGCTATTTGAGAAATCGGCAAATGGTCAAAAATCGATTATTAAAACCGGGCCAAAAAAAAATCATGATTCCCCTTTTTAGTCCAATTCCGATTATTTTTTGGATGACTTGACATCTGATATGGATATATAGAAGATAATTACCATAAATACTAAAAATCATTATTAATAATTACTACAAAACAAATTTATAATCGATTTATGAAAAGCCGGTTAACATGACAACAATTGTATCAAATACGTAATTTCTCTGATTTCCAAGAAATCAGCGACCTCAAAAATCAATGACTTTTGAAAAATCTCATCAAAAGGAATCAGTATCAATCCTTCTCTCCTTAGACTCAGTTTGGAAAGAATGTAAATACAAATATATATTGTATAAATACATACAAAATACAAGTTTACATATTTGATTTTGCACTCTTTCCAAACTGAGCCCTAATATTTGCTTTAAATGGGACGGGTGTCTTTATCTTTTGAAATATACTCAGAGCCAGAGGGATATGCCATCGTGCCTCACTTCACTTACCTGTGTGGCTGTGCCCCGTGTCCGTGTTCACCCATTAAAGAGATGAAATGATGTTTCTTTTTGCTCGCCATAGGGTCCACATGATCCCTTGTTATTTTTATGTTGATTCCCATCCATAGGATCCTGGATCATTGATGTAAACCATACATGAAAAGAAAAGGATAACTAATTAAAATAAAGGAAGGAGAAAATTAATAAAAATATATTTACATCTTGAGTAAATAAGGCCTGTCTTATAAAAAACGAAAAAGAAAATTTTCAACAAAAAGCACCAGTGCAGTAGGGGGGGGGGGGATGGCAAAAAGGTAATCCAATTTTCCAAACTTTTGAATATCCCATATCATCCAATCTCCATCTCCCCGCAATTCCGCCATGATGACGATGATGACTTGATGATGCATCTTGTTCCCACGTCACATCCACCTTATATGAAAATGAGTAATAGAGGGCCCACCAACCCATAGTACATATGTGTAGGGGGACCATACTAGAGACGGACAACTGTAAGGGAAAAGAAGAAATAATAATACTATTTTTTAAATTTAATTTAATAAAAACATAAATAAAGCAAGCGGAATCTCTACTTTCCATGTATGAACACCTATATTTAAAAGATTCTGATATAAAGTCCTACAAAAAAAAAAAAAAAATGAAAAGAAAAGAAAACCATCCAACCGTGGGGACGGTATCGAATTTTTATATTTGAGGGTAGGACCCACCATTAAAGACAATGTGTACCTCGGTCTACTGTGTCACTGAAGATAAGACGCTGAAGTAGCAGCGGATTTTTACAGTATCCCCCTTAATTCCTGGTGATCTAGAAAGATTTGATGGATCAAGTGGGTCTCAAGGCAGTTTTACGGACGGAGGAGCGGGCCTCACTCAGAGGTAGGTGGGTCCTGTCTCTGCACGCAAACGCCCTACACACCATAGACTCTGTAGACTGTGGTTGTTTGCAACTTGCAAGGTTAGATCAGAGTCTGCTTGATATGGATGTGGACGGTGGATGGTGGACGGCGATGAGAGAGAGATAAGACCGTAAGAGTAAGAAGTAAAGAGTGAAGAAGGTGCCATGTGCACTACCTGCGTCTGATATCAGAGTCCGCTTGTTGCCAAAACGTACGAGAAAAGAAGGAAAAGTAAAAGACGAGATGCTTTAGTGGGATGGGCCGAGCGGGGGAGAAGAGGCGGTTCGGTTTCTGGTGATACGGGGTGTGTGATTGGTGCTTGTTGCTAACTTTAACCAAGAAAAGTTAACGATATCGCAGTGCGCCAAAAGCTGCGGCTCGACAGACACGTATGTGGGATCCAATCATACGGCGCATCTTTTCAGGCCTTGGTTTGCCTTTTTTAAATGTTTTTCCTTTGTTTGGACTTTAGAGAGAAACCACACTCTGTGTATGTCTATGCGTGTGTGAGTGCCTCTGACTAGTCTCTGTGTTGAGAGAGAGAGAGAGAGACTTTGGAGTTTGGGATTTTGGTTGGTCTCAACCTTTGGTCTGTTAAAGAGGAGTGGGGGCATGAAACAGAAAATGGCTTGTATTGATGTTTGTGCATTCTTCACTGAATTTTATACAAGTAGTTCAGTATTCCAATACGTACCCATCTGGTTAGGGCACTTTAAAGATTGTGGTAGCTCCATAAATGAAATCCTGTTTGTATCGGGTACATATTGACCCGACCCACCAGAACAGGACCCACTGAGCACTGACCCAGCTTAGCTACCCTTGATGTCCATCCATGATGAAGCATCCAAAAGCCCAAAAATGTCCATGTGCGGTTTACAGGGCTTTTCAGTTATACAAGTACAGTATTTGTGATCTGATGAATGTCAATTTTATGTGTTTTAGAAACAATGAATGGAATGGATTATCAAGAATCAAAGCTACCACGGTACAAATTCAATGGTCTCTAAGTACTGACCCGACCGATGGACCACCCACTCGGAAATGTATGCCGGCGTCCAATCCATCTATGGTGATGGAGACGGCTTAGTACTTTGGATGACAAAGACGCCGCTGTACTTGACTCTCTCTCCCTCATTTTAAGTCTCAACAACATGGTTGTGGTTAAAATTACTACATCTTCAGACTCCATCTCTTTAAGGTGTCGGGACATGGATTTTCGTTTTAGATTTGCTGGAGCCCGGAGGTGAACCGCTGAGTCGAGTCTAGTTCCGTTCGCCTGTTGTGTTGTATGTATATCAGTGATTATGGAAGATGGTTCTTAAACGTCTACCTGAACAACTGAATCGCGCAAGGCTTTCGTTAACCTTTTCGGGATTCTCTATTAGGAATACAGATTTTTCTTAAAATAACGACGGTAATATTGTCAGGGTTTCGCTCGGCCTGATAAAAGAAGGAAACAAAGGGGAAGCTGATCAGAACAGCATTTTCACCGTTTCGATTTTGGCTGTTTTTTTAAACAGAAAAGAGTTTAATAACGAGCTAATGATTCCCGCCATTTTCCTTGTACGGAACGGTAAAGGGCAGAATCAACCACCAAGACGTCACCATACTCACCCTGACCACGACCCCACGTGAAATCTCTCTCTCTCTCTCTCTCTCTCTCTCTTTCTGACTGTGATTCTTTTTGAATCTCTGGCTTATACCGCTCCTTCGTTGATCGACCTCTGAAAATCTGCAACTTTTGTTTTGTACAATGGGGATTTGAATACAGTGCCATTTTACAAAATTTTCAGGGCCTTTTTTCTCTTTCGAGTCTTGATTTTTCATTTTTTCCTTGGTTTTCTGATCCGGGTTCTGTTTAGTTCCACTGATCGGGATAGTACCATTGAAGACTCGGAGCTTGATCTTCAGAAAAGAAATTGCAGGGCTCCTCAGCATTAAAGAAGTTGTGCTCTTCCATTCTCATTAACTGGTGTTGGTACGCTTTCTGGGCACTCGCTGAAACACCCCTTGAATCCGCGAACTGAAAACAATTTATTGAAGAAGGCGAAGACGAGGAAGAGCAGTTGAATCTTAGTGAAGATGAAGTCGGGGAGACCAGTATCTGGTTTTGCTGAAAAACCCCGGGCGAAGATATTGCTGCATTCGGGCTGTTGTCTTCGTTTAAGATAGCGCTGGAGTCGCTGTCAGATGAACCGTCCTTGAAATCAGTAAACCCCGAAGCACCTACTCCGTTGTTGGCGTTGCTATTCTTGTAGCCTTCCTGGTTTGGTTCGGTAGCCTCGGACCCTCCTAACACCCCAGCGGCAGGGATCTTACTCTGTCCAGTAGCTACGTTATCGGACTCCGACATCACTGCCTCTTGTTTAACTGAGATGTTGCTTTCGGTATTTTCTTCTCCGAGTTTCGACTTCAGCTCTCTTATCTGCCAGACACCACCCAACATTAATACGAGCAACAAAAACCAAATTGATTAGAGTGAAATTCGATCAATTGTTTCGTGGAAAAACTACTTCTAGCTAGCTGGTTTGCCACCACAACGAATATGTCGATTACCTCAGCAAGTAGAGCTTCTTTGTCTTGTTGGAGAGCGTTGTGACTCTCCTTGAGAGTCTCGTAATTGGATTTGAGAAGATTGTAATCTCTCTCTAATTGTTTGGTCTTCCACCTGGCTCGTCGGTTCTGAAACCACACAGCCACCTGTCGTGGTTGCAAGCCGAGTTCTTGAGCTAGTTTGACTTTCCGCTCCGGTTCGAGCTTGTTCTCGACCTCGAAATTCTTCTCCAAGGCCTTCACCTGATCCACGCTCAATCGCCTTTTCTTCTCGGAGATCTGGCCCTGTTCTTCTAAACAGTCCTCTTCGTCTAAGCCATCCAACATGGATTGGAAACTCCTCCTATATACGTGGTTGCTTGCTCCCAAGCCCTTCTCTTCTGGAGAAAAGAACCAACAGAGAAACAGAGGTAGAGAGTTAGATCTAATTGCTAAAAACGGGAAGGAGAAGAGAAAAACATAGAACAGACATAGAGATTAAAAGCACTAAAGAGTTCTGATGAAAATTTATGTTAACGGATTCAATCAAGTTACACCGAGGTCCTAGAAGCAGACCCTAGCTACTATATATATATATATGGATGGGCATATGGAAATCTGCAACTATATATGCCTTCAAAATCTGAGCTTTATATGTATTATAGTACATGAATTTACCTGCAGATGGGCATATGGAAATCACAGCACCAAGTGATTCTGAGCTGCCAAGCCTCTTCATGACTGAAACGAAGAAGCTATATGGATGGTATTATATCAGACTGTTTTCTATGTGCTCTTTGTTTTCAGTTTCTATCTTAAACACTACGGGGTGTCAAAAGCCGCGGTTTCACTTAAAAGAAGACATGGAAGAGTAACTGCAATGCTTAAAGCAAGACCTAAGTGGCAAAAATTGGGCAGGAATTGAACCTCTGAACAATACGCAATCTCTCCTGACTTCCTCATCTTTCTCCTTTTTCACTATTTCTTCTCCTCCTGAACCCATTAAAACCAGGAGAAGAAAAGCGAGAACCCCTTCAACCAAACTAACAAGTAAAACAAAACAAAACAAAACAATCAAACCAACTGAGAAGGTAATCAAAACTCCTTTATCTACTTCATCATAACTCAATCAATCTAGTCTAGCACAGATAATTTCAAATCGAATTTCTCTGATTGTTCATCTACAAAACTATATGAATGAGAGAGAGAGAGAGGGAGAGGAAACGAGGAATGAAAAAAAAATAGTAGTAGTAGTAAACTAGTTCACAACACGCTGGCCGCTCTCTTTCTCTTTAAATAAACCAAGTTGGGTTAGACATGAAGTTAGAAATTTACTCAGGTTATGTAAACTCAAATGAAATGAACCCAAATTCAAGTCAAATGCAATCCAAGGTGTACAGGCGATAATAGGTCGACCTCCTGTTGTTCGACCGTTTGGGGAGATTTTTTCTTTTGCCCTGGTCGTATGAAAAGAAACAAAACTTCTGTTCTTTTTAAAGCGAAGAAAAAAAAAATATGCTTTTTGAAAACCAAAAAGGGACAAGAAAAATAAGGTAGTAGTATGCTTCGGCTCGGCTTGGCTGGTTTCAGCGTATCTCTGTCCTCACATCGGCGTATTCGGTGCGAAAAATCGCGATTAATTGGCGATTTCTACGTATTTTACGGAGAAAAGAATGGTATGTGTGACGGTGCCACCGAACCTGTCTAACTCGTTTCATCCATAGCCAATTCTCATATGGTGGGTATGGACATGGGCATCTAAACAAGCCCATCAGGCTTCTCATATCGGAAGTCGGAACTACTTATTCCGGGTGGCTGGGCCGCTGGAGGCCCACTCAGGTGAGAATTTTCATTACTCCCCAGCTAGCCACGTTCATTTCCCCTCTTCAAAAACAAAAACATCTCGACTTTGGAATAAAATTGATGCAGGTAAAGCTCAGTATTTAGGCATCGTGTCTCACTTTAAAATCGTTGGGCCCAAAAATAGTATAGAAGGATCATTTAAGAGTAGATGCCTAGATGGGCCAAAAATCACCTTAACGCAACCAGTTTAGACTATAGAATCCGAAGATTCCAGCCGGACAAAAAATAATAAAGGCCTCAGGAGTCAGGACGGACCCAATTGTTACGTAAAACCAATAACCCATTTATTTAATTTCAAAAGCATTCTTAACTTTTATTACCTTGTTTTGTTTCTTTTTCATTTATTTATAGTCTTCGTTTTCTTCAAAATTTTTAGAAGATTCGACCGGGCGTACGGTCTAACCATGAAAATATTGAAGTCGAAAACCCTAGAGTAGAAGTTTGATATTCGGCCGGTCTGTTCTTCAACTCCAAAGCATACTATTAGTATGGTGAGCAAGAAAAATTGAATCAAACCGAAAAACCAATCAAAATTGAACAAAAAATCTGGTTAATTGGACGGATCAGTTCAGTATTTTTAAAAAATTAAAGGTACTAGTTCGGTTTTTGTTAACCAACATAGAAAACCGATAATTAACTGAACTGACCGTTATACATATATTTATATATATTTCTGTATATTATACATCATATATATATAATATATATTATTTAAAATATAATATTATATATCTTTAATTTTTATTATATATTTATATATTTTTATAATATATATTATAAATATAAAAAACCTAAAAACCGATATCAAACCAATCAACTTCGGTTACTGATTTTCCAAAAACCAATAACCTTACTTTGATTTCAAAAATAGGCCCACGAACCATGAACACCCCTGATTAACTATTACAGTTGAAACCCCTTGAAGTTAATTATATTATAAACTTTCACTAGGAAATAAGTGGCGAGATAAGCATACAGATAGGGAAAAAATAAGTGGATTTAAGTTGTTTATATGATCGTCTAGATGTGAAGCCAAGGCAAATATTGGCATTATACAATAAAAATAAAAATGAGCAATTTCAATCATGGAATCTATTGGCAGATGAATCATGGGACCCATTCGKACTCCTTTGATCCAATCCAAGGTGCTTTTTATTTATTTTATAATTTCCAAGAAAATGTTGTTAAATATAACATTTTTTGAGTTCACCTTGTTTGCACTTAAAGCAGTACTGTTATCAGACTGGGCCGGACTAAGAAAAACCCACAAAATCCACTAGTTATTAGGCCAATTAACTAGGTGAAGCTCAGACCATGAAAAACCGTCAATAATACGGCAGGGTCACCCTAACCCGGTTCGTTGGAGTATAGGCATTGTTTATGCTGATTTACTTGGGATCACCTCTTGTCCCAGGAATCTCTCCTCGTTTCTGAGTTCTGAGTCATGACACCCAGAGTATTGTTCACCCATTAAATTTGGTTACAGATGAAACTAAGGAAACTGTCTGATGAAACCTTTCAATAACACAGATATTAGAGACAATTATTGTGTGAGCAGATGAAGGAGAGAAGAGAGACCAAAAAAAAATACTGCTCCTGTAAGAATTCATTTAATTGATACGTGACAAAAATCTACATTCACCGGGCACTCGGCCAGATGGGCAGGGGAATCCCAAATCCCAGTGCAGAGCAATCCTGATGAAAGTTTAGACCGGCAATGAAGGGTGTTCTTTCATCAGATGACTCATCGCTTTCTTTCATTCAGGAACCTTGTCTGTAGACGATCTGAACTCAAAACTCAAAAAGTATGAGAACAGGTACAATGGAAAAAGACTCCAAAGTAGAAAGTCCAAACAAACTTGCTAAAAATTGAAGTAGCTGTATGGTAGCAAAAGTTGAAGATAGATAGAGAGATGTGGAAATGGGGGACAACCTAAAAGGAGGTGCGACTTAACAATGGAAATACTGCATTATCTGTGGTCCAGTTGGGTTACATGAAATTGGTCCGTCCGTGCATCTACGGACTGTTAAACCCGTGGGTGGGCTGTTGGTATACTGCTGGGGCTAAACCCGTGGGCGAACCAAATTACCAAACCTCGCCCAGCTCTGGAGTCTGGAGGACCACAGAAAGTCTCTCGTGTCTGATCAGAAAATTAAAAAAAAATAATAAAACAAAATGTGAAAATGAGCAGTTTGCGTAGTTACCAAATTAAGAAACAGAAGAAAAAAAAGTCGGAAATGTAGGTAGAAATTCATTGGATAAAACACACAGAACAGAGCTAGATTAGGTACAGTACAGTATGATTTTGACACTCAATTAGCTTGGGCCAGAATACTTCATGTTTAAAAGTGTTTTGCAGTACAAACATCTGGGCCAAGTAGTCGGTCTATTTTATTGTTTTATGTATAGATATATGTGAAATATTTAATATTTAAGACAAATGGGTAGAGAGGGGTTCTAATCATTCTATGGTGCCATTGCATTTGGTTCCTCAGTAGATTGTGTTGCTTTATCTTGATATAATATATGTAAGTTATTAATTGATTTACTTAAGCAACTTATCAAAGCAATTTTATTTTTTTTACTTTTCTACTGACAGTGAATTAAGAAGTTGGTAACAGACAGTATAATTAGGAAGAAGTTAAACCAAATATGAGTGCAATTATAGAAATTTGGAGCATTGTGAACAATCATCGACATAAAGCTAGGACTACCTGGTGGCGAATCTAGGAATCGAGGAAGACAATGCCTTTTAAAGGACAAGGACAAGATAAGAGAGTGCTTGATACCAATACCATTGCATTAATTTGATTTGTAGAAGTTTTAGGAAGAACTAGCTAGCTATGCCTCAGGTAACATAGCTATCTATTACAATGTAGCGAAACAAAAACAAGTCCAAAGAACATGTTCCTTGTTTGTACTGCTTTTCAATTGTTCAATGTATCATACATTTTTTATAAAATCATTAAGGCTGCATGCTGTTGCAGTGTAAATTTTGATTTACTTTTGCTTCAGATTTGATCTTTGTCTTATTTGTTTTTGAAAAGTAGGATAGAAAGTAAAATGGTGTGGTCCCACCTTATATGCAAGGAGTGAGGTAAGAAACAAGATGATTTGGTCCTCATTCCCCCACTTTATATGAAAGAATTGAGGTAGGAGGAATATGGTGCGAATTTTGCATTAATTTTTGAGATGCAATATTTATACCGCTGGCTAGTAAGTGCAATTGAGACCGAAAAAAAAAGGACAAATTTTGCATCAAATAAGACTATAAATCGTAATTACAATCAATCAGATGCAAAATTGAACTAAGTGCAAAATTTGTACCTATCTCACATTTGCGCTGCAACCAAATGTAGCCTAAAAGAAATTCATGCATATAAAAATTAGCTACGTGGGCCCTTAAAGTGGATATGCATAAAGAATTATCACGTAATTGTTTACCCTAACAATTGCCCATAACAAACACCCCATGGTTGTAAGAGGAAAGGTTGAATAGATGCTTCAAATGAAGGTGGTGTTTGGCATCAATGATTATTTCTCCTTGATCTTATCCAGAAATGGTGATTCCTGGAATCAGTGATTTTTGAAAATTCATAAAAAATTATTGTTTAGTATCATTTATGCTATGTAAGCTGATTTTTGAGAAATCGGCTTTAAGTCTTGATGAGGGGTGATTTGGCCCGACCTATTCATGCATGGACATGTGGAGGTGGCCTGCTGATTGGATATCTACTTGGCACTTTGTGCCACCTCAATAGGCCAGGTCACCATGAGTCACCTCGGGCACCTTGGCTAGAACCGAGGGCCGAGCAGCTCGTGGTAGCCTAACCTTCCGAAGTGACACATAGCCGACTTCTAGAAGTTACTTAACTGTCTCTGAGCTTCATGGGATCACGCCGCACGTGTTTAGGCCTTATCCTCATCCCGCTCATATTGGACAGATTCGATAAGCCTTATCGGCTAGCACGAAGTCCATCTCCTGGTGCAAAACGGACTCTTAATAGCACGCGCGGAGATCTCGAAGGTGTTTCATGAGATGCACGACATCTCATCTATATAAGGACATCGACCCCAACGATACAAGGTACGCACGATTATTTGCTCACTATCCTACTTGCCATCAAGTTTACAACTCGCACACATTGAATATTAACTTAAACACCCGAGCGACCACACTGAATAGCCACCCCAAATCCTCTGATCCTTATTTCCTTACAATTCAACTTGCCAACTAGGCAACTGATGTCTGAACTATCCTCCAACTAAGAGCATTTACATCGCTCACCATCAAGTCTGATTGGTGCTAATTTTCAAGGGTTGATTATTTTTATATTAGAATTATTATTCGATGCCATGCTTGTGTTAATTGGTTTGTTCCAACATTGACAATGGAATCCCCCAACCA